TAGAGTTTCCATCATAATCAGAGGTTTTGGTGGGATTTCATAAATCTTTGTCAGAGACATCAGGCTAAACCGAGAGTTATTGTTGGTGGGCCGTTTGACATCCTTGGAATCCGAACAAACGAATCTAGCGCTCAATGTTATGCCACATTTGCTGTTTCCTCCTTCATCTAATTCGTTGCACTTCAGTGTTCTCTCCATCTGCAGTATTAAGCTAACTTGTTCTTTCCACACTCCTAACATGATCACCTTCCCTTGTTGCATTGGATGTAGTGTGCAAGTCAATCATCAGTTACTCTCTCATTGGCAGGGCTAGAACTAATCAAACTATATCGATTTTCTGCCTTGCCTATCCACTGGGTTATGCCCCCTGATCCCCATAAGGGCAATTGCTATCAAAATTGCTCACGTCAAGCGATGTGGTCCCTTTACTGCCGATATGCACACGGTAATCAGCTGCCGCTTATTGTTGAGCTCTACTGAGAAGTACAGAAAACTGTTCATTTGGTTGATAACGACAAAGTGATTTCAGCTCGCAGGCAACGACCCGGAGTACCACGCGCATTTAGCCGCCGTGTATGATGTGGTCGCTTCTGCTTTTGGTAACAACAAGCATAATTACACTGGATGTTTGATATCCGTAGTTGGTGAAACAATCATTGACACAACCTGCTGTCTAATTTACAGAATGAGCATCGGTCGGCCAAACAACATTCGAGTGCAGTTCACTTGACCTCTCTGCCCTTGAACCAGTTCGAATTTGTGTGGTGCTCATTTGAGCATGATCGGTCATTTTAAATATTCAATCTGAGCTTGAGGTTTGAATTGTTGTCACAGTCCTCAACGGTTTCCGCACGACCGGCTTGGATTTGCTACGGTTCTCATTTATTACGGAAAGTGATGAGGTCCTCTGCTGTTTCTTCGGGTCTAGAAGCAGTAGGCTCTCTAAGCCTATTACGGTGATATTATTCAGACAGAGTGAGTACAACGTTTGTGTGGTTATCCGCTTGAATCCACCGTTAGTGAAATCCGCTACCAGGAATGTGATAGGCTTTCGACCTGGACGGTTCGCTGTAGTCCATATTGTTACTCTGCGACCTATTTTAGCTGTGTCACACTCGTGACATGCCACATACATGTTCTCCGCTGCTCCTATAGTTCAAGATTAACTTTAACTCAATTGGTCCCTTTATTTTGATCGATGTGTTCACTCGGATGTCTTCACCAATATGCTAACTTTAAAGGGTGCCCTACTCGAACGCCATAGATCACGCCAAGGTCCAGTGCAACTTATCGGTTAATTTTCCGGCAACAGTTGGCTTTCGGCACAGTTACCCCTTTTAAAATTTCTCTTCAATTTTATCGTGGATTGCATTACTGAGATTTCTGTTTGGGACTCACTACAGATGGGTACTGAGACCTTGTCTAGGAGATCTGTATGGCGGATTTTAGACTTCATCGCTTTATAGTCGCGGATGATCTCATTCTTCGGTACGCACGTAGCACAGCGCAAATCGCTGTTGCGAAGCATTAGCCACTCGCTGAGCTCTTTGACTAGTGACGATGAAGAACTAAAGACTGTTGAACAAATCGGATACATTGGTCGCCACACCAGTAGCGGCGGAGGTAAATTCACGTACCGGGATGGTTAGAACTACGTACATGACTCAGTGATTATTTTAGTGTCAGAAGGGGATTTACACTCTGTCCCCAGGTCACTGTGATGAGACTTGGTTCCTTCGGTCCGGATAGCCCAAGAACATTCAGGATCGTTGTTGCCTGCAGTGCATTAGTACTGTCGGTTACCACCAGTGTGTCCTCAACGATGGAGTACGTATGTGCGTACTTGGCGGCAGATGGTCTTGTTAAACCTGCGTTGTTGCGTTGAGCTGACCACATGCTAGTTGCAGTCACTGATCGATCGTAGAGGAGACTTTGTTTTCAAAGTTGCGTTGCTCATGTATCACAATGGTTTGATGATCATCAGCTGTTAAGCATTAGACCGTGAGTTTCAGTCGCAGCTCAGGCTAGTGGGATTTCAGTGTTGAGAGGAAAAAGATTAAAAAAGACACCTACAATTCGGACTTTGCTTTATCTGATGGACGTTGAATGGCGTAATGCTAGAGGAGACCAATCGCTCTCCCAGCTGCGTAGAACTGACTGCGTGATTGTCGGATCTTTGGTGTACCCGCTGTATGTCTGGGTTGTGATACGCAATAGCATTTGGGATCGCGGTTTACTTTGAAGCAATCCTCTGGTATTTCGCCTACTGGGACTGCATCCAGAGTGAAGAGTTTCCGAGTTGCTTTCTCCAACTCTCCCAAGGTTTCGTGATCACCGTATTGCGTAACATTGTTTCTCCTCGGTTCCTGGACTATAGTTCACATAGGCCACTGTGTTCTCGACTCGATGGCCTATAGGAAAGTGCCGCTGCTTTCAACGGTGGTGAGCGTGCTGCCGTTTTCCAATTAGATAGCATGCTTATACTTTGTCTGAAACCGATCTATCTGCGTTGTATGTCTATACTTGAGGTTCGACTTTGAAATATGCAATTAAGTAGCATATCCTCTTTCAACTATTTCTTGTTCTATTTTCACTTTTTTGTGGCCATACGTTGTGAATGTGTATGCGCAGTCATCGGAGATGGTTTTCTTGGAGTGTCTATTTTGTATCTTAGGTGTCAGCTCCCTGACGTCTTTTCCTCATTATCGGCATTATTTTGTCAGTTTTTCTAGGCACCGTCGAGGATCACAGTTCTGTGTACCACTTTGAGGATTCTTTTTTTTTGGTTTCTGCTTCTGTTGATTTCGACGAATTTGTTGAATAGTGTCCGACTCGCTCGTCCTTTATACCAACTAGCAAAGCGAGTGTCCCATGAAAAAGATTGTTTTGACAACAAACTTGGTTACGTTTTTTACTTTCTGTCGCAGCGTTTAACAGCTTCTACTTCCCTATCTTTCGATGTGCATGCCCTCAGTGTTGGCCGATCCGAATCCATCCCATCGTAGCCGTTATATTATCTGTCTTTGCATTTGCAGTCTTTTCTCGCTCATCACTTCGTTCCACATTTGTCTCTCTCTCTCTGTCCGCTGTACCGAGTCGTCCTTCCGGTACTGTAATAATCATCGTTATCTGTGACTTCTGCTGAAACTTGCTTTTTGTCTTTGATTTTAAAACAAGCTTGCCTTCAGTGCATTTCGCTGCTGGACATTTCCACGTTTTCACATTCCTTTCATATATCTCATGTTTTACATGCTCTTCTTGATGGTGTTTCGTTTATTTACTCAAAATTCTGGCACTACTATCTTTTCTTTCAATCTTGTTTTCATTCTCTCCTACGATATTGCATAAACTGTGACAGCTCACAAACGTGCTAAGGGGTACTGGACAGAATAACTCTCGATATCTCGCGTTTTTAGCTGCGCTTTGTTCCCTCCAAATGCAAAACTCCTCTAAAATTGTCAGGGATTGTTCTCCCCGCTTAACCCCGTAGGGATCAGGTAGAAGTGTTTAAGAAATTCAACTACCTGGGCAGTTGTTTCAGCGCATGTGGCATCGCAGATGAAATCACGAACCATATAACAGAAGCTCGAAGTGCTTTTGCCAATCTTCGCCGTTTATCTCGCAGACGCGACATTACTCTCACCTTGAAGCGTAGAGTCTACAACGCGGTTGTGAAGCCTGGCCCATAAATTCGACATATGTAAAATGAACAGGAATATTAGAAGACGTAAATTATGAGATGATGTCGCTATTTCGTGCATTCTTATCACAACACAATGCGGCGGGATTGCGATTGCTCACCTCGACAAGACCTATGCTTACGAGTTCAAGTAAAGCACCGACTACGAGAGTGCATGCTCCACTGTCTATATAAATTCACCTGTAGCTATGGAGGCAGCTACATTTGGCGCACTAACCGAAGTATAGGTGTCAGAATCAATGAACACATCCCCATGTAGTTACGCAACCGGATGGGGTTTGTGACGACGGAATCAGTAGTATCGGGAAATCGAGCTGCTTCGACATTCACAAGGTACTTTCTTACCACCGGACACCGAGCCAATCCGGATGCGCCATTCATAGTCCTGTTGCGCGATCGGCGGCTCCGCATGCTTAGGCTACTGAAGACCATCGCTATTAATCACTAACGACTGCTGCTGTACATTTAAAAGCAGCTGACTCTGACTTTTGACCTACCCCGGTAGCGGCAACTCTTGGCTATTTACGATCCCTTTCACATTGTGCTATTTCGTTTACCTATCACTGTTGCATGTTTTGTGCTTGATACTAATGTATAAAATGGCGACATCATCTCACAACCTACGTCCACTGATTTTCCCGTTCGGAATTATCAAGCGAACTTCTTGTTTTAGATGTAAACATGTGCCTTCGCAGTTTGGCTCATATCTGATGGGAGCGCCGCTTGTACAATGAGCGTGTTACGTGTCGTGTATTTGATGCAGGTGGAGCAGGCGAACCTCTCACTAACCTTTTTTTACATACCAGACTTTGGTGACTGGGTTGCGTTACGCTTGCCAGCACGACTCACGCGATGTGCATTGTATGCGTGACCGATTCCTAGATGGAAGAAGAGGAGTGGTCAGGCGATGACTTAGTCAATAAGAATGAAGGCCTTCACTTCGAAGTTGACATCGGTTGGTGTCCTTCAGCTTCCTGGTTGGGGTCCAAAAGACAATAAACACCTATAGCTGGACACACATGTCGACATGACGGTGAACCGACCATATTGTTTAGCCTCCCTCTCCAACCATGATCTTTTTGGTAATGCACAGTGTAAAAAAGCAGAATATTATTTGCGTTTTGTTTGTCCTTTTTTCCCTCTTAATCTCGCCTGATTTGTTTTTATCACGACACAATAGCTGCGGTGTTTCTCACCTCTAGCTAATGTGTGGAGTGATGCTGATGACGACGTTTATCAGCATGTAACGTTTGCCATTCACGCCGCCATTTTGCTGACATTACATTCTCTCCCATTTCAGCGTACAAAAATGTCCGTCCGAGCTCTACTTTTCTCTCACCTGATTCAATATCGTTCACTGATCTTGCGTCTTCCAATCGTCTAAGTGCGATCGCTGACCAGGTTATCGTTGCGGACAGTGAATCTTCACGCCATTCAATGCTTCCCGTGCAACCTGCCTCAGTGGCGACCCCTGTGAAACTTGTCACGTCTCCATCTTCCCCTGCTTCTCCGTTACCCTCCAATCATCGCAGATCTTTGAGCAATGTAAGCTTCCTGTCTACATGTTCTTGATATAGTGTGATTTTATGATTGAACTTTGTTGGTCGCCGCCCGTATTAGACACAGCACTCCAAACTAAATTCAGGTCTGTGTTGTTGTTGTCGTTGTTGTTGTTGTTTTAATCCATTTTCGTTCTTTTCCCTTATATCTATTTACTTGTAGTTCCACTGTGTGCTTTTCATGCATATGTTATTGCGTCTGTTCGTTTCTTTTTCATTTGGTTGCATTTTTTTGCTCAATTTTCCGATAGCTATGAGATTCGCCGCAAGTTAGTTTGGCACCGAGCGGGCAGTCCTATGATGCATTGGGTGTGGCCTCACTGACTACCTAATTCAAAATTTAAATTTTCCTTCTCAGTGATTGTGATTTCTTTGCTTGTCTTGCGCATCCCCGGACAGCGTGTGTTATTTCGCGGCACTGTGTCGCTTAAAGCCTATATTTTTTGCCTTTTACAGCACACATTGAAAGACTTGAATGCATTCAATACACGGACAATTGGCCGTAAAATTTGCATCGATCTGGTGAAATTGGCCGATGGCGGATTGGGTTTCACTCTCACAAGCCGCGATACCCGGACGAGCATGGACAAAGGTGATCCAGTTTACGTAAAGAAAATACTCAGTTCCGGTGCAGCCATAGCTGATGGTCGACTGTCGGTGAGTGTTACACACGCGAAGACTGTCGATTTTTCTCTCGCATCCTATTGCTCTTCTTATTTCGATTCATATCTTTAGTACTTCGGTTGGCCGTCGGCCGCTGCAATTATTGCTCGCCTGGCTTGCAACCCTTAGGTCACTGATTCGAATCCGCGTAGAGGCGGGCCTCCTCGCGGTATATGCAGCCCACGCTCGACCGGTGATGGTCGTGTGGCAGCGAAGCGTCAGTACAGTGTGCCGGCGTACTGCTAATGACTTTTTCTAAATAACAACCGATGTGTACTTTTGTTAGCTCCTGTTAACATTGGATAGACATGTTGGATAACACCGTTTTGTACTGTTCGTTGCATCTTACATTCAGACTCTATTCTCGCATCGTGTTTTAATTCTGCACAACATGGAAGAATAATCCCATCAACAAACTACAAAGCCTAACACAGTCGACTGCATGGCATGCCAACTGCATCGCTGCATACTTATTCTTCACCTTTCAACCACACATTCACATGTTTCCATCGCTAACATCTCTTCTGCGTCCCACGTCTTTTTGTACAGGTTGGCGATCGACTTCTTTCTGTGAACGGGATCGAGACGATCAACTTAAACCAAGTTTCAGCCCAGTTGCGCTCCATGAAATCTGGCGAGTGTGTGCGACTGATCATTTCCAGGCAAATTTGTTCTCCGCCCGATGAGAACCTCAAACAAAAGTCCCCACTAACCTCGCATTCTGTTACCTATGATTCCCAAGCAAGCGTGAGTTCCAATCACTTTCATGAGAGTTTTATACTTGCTATCTCATTTTTTTATTGGTTACGAAAATCGCTCCTTACCTCACCCCATTACCCAAACTTCCTCGTCTTGTTAGAAGTCCTGTCATTGTGACTGGTCTTGGGAAAGCTATATCTCATGCGTATTCAAAATGCATTTACCGCTTGTTCCTTAAATAATAATAATAATAATAATAATAATAATGATAGTAATAATAATAATGTGTCAGCTGTACGCCGTAACGGCGCTTCCCTGCCGCGCGACCACCATCGGTCGCGCGAGAACTGAAAATACTGCGAGGACGCCCACCCCTACGCGGCTTCGAACCGGTGGCCTTATGATTGTAAGCCAGGCGTGCAATGCACTCGGTCACCGGCCGACATTGTCCATTGTTGCATACGATCGCTTCTGGTGTGTTCCGGGCACTGTGATTCGGTTGTCCCAGTCACACCTCGATTGATGTGCATTCTGCGGAAGTAATGAACAACAGAGTCGAGAACGGGAGGATAATAGTCAGAAAAGTCACTCACCGACCAGTAACTACGTTACATTCCGTGCATTTGGTGCATGCGTCAAAAACGATTTCCTTTGTTTTCTATGCTTCGGGTTACTGTGTTAACTGTTTTTCTGCGTGGATTGTACACCATTATTTTTCTTGAAGTGTATTTTCCAATCGGTGCATATCTGGTGGATATTCTTCGGCTAATTCCGGAGATGTCATTGATTGGCCCACCAGCCATCCGTATCTGCCATCTTGGATTTGTTCTACCTTGTGATGCCTACCCAATCTACTTGTGGTTCGTGTTCGAAAGTTGTTGGACGTAATGCTCATGCATTTTGGTGCTTCGGCTGCGATGTTTTGTTCCATATTTTGTGCGTTGGCTTATCCGTTGACGTGTTTCGAAAATCTCTCGACATCCGACATCGGTTTTTTCATGTTATGTGATAAATGTCGCTGTTTAAGACATCAAAATACACAGCGCCAACCAACGACTGCAGGAAACTCTTTCTTACAGGCGGAAACACCCCGTTCATCCCGTGGGGTCAACCGCCCTCGTGAAAGTACTTCTGTCAACTTACCTTCCCCTGCCACTCCTCGATCTGTACCAATACTAGCGTCTCCGAATCCGGCCGAGTCTCATGTTCAATGTTCCCCACGGATTGAAGACAGCTTCAGAACCTCCGAAATTCCTTTGTCACTGATCGACTCGTCAATTTCTTAGAGCCTGTATGTGAGCCTCCGAATGCCGTGGGTTCACGGACCACTCTAAAGCGCAACGGGCCACGTATTCGAGCTCAGGCGCACCCTGATGGTTAACAACAACTCAAACCGATGAGCACTTCTAGTCCTGCTCCCACTGGTTCATCTCCGATTTCACTCAGGCGTCATAATCTCATGGTCTTACACTTACCAGAATCAAAAGATGAAAACCCTCAGATACATTATGATCACGATGTTGAATTCCTGGAGGGTCTTATCGGTAGACTTTTGGATGTGGGTGAAGACAATTTGACGATTAAACAAGTAGTCCAACTTGGCCAGCAAACTAACCAGTCATATCAACCTCTGAGAATCATATTTGTAAATCACAATATGCCTCGTCTGTCAAGGTTGAAAAGTATAAAAGTTCACATTCGCCGAGACTTGTAACCCGAAGACAGGGATTATTTGAAGACTGCGGTCATTGAGTTCAAACACCGTACAGAAGAAGCTGACTGACTTACAAATTGTAAATTTTCGCGTGATCAAGAAGGGTGTACGAACCCATAGCGACCGGTTGCCCAACCTCCAGGCACGTCCCGCGGTACCTCTCAGGACCTCCGTTTGGCATTCGCCAAGGTGTGCAGCCTAATGAACAAACCTGACGAGCTGTGCCGCTTTACTGTCTCGGAGCAGCCGGACGTCTTAGGGCTTACAGATACTAGGTTGAACTCCGACATCATACCCCAAGAAGTCGTGTTGTCAGGATATTCTTGTTCCAGATGCGATCGAAAATCAACTGCTCAAGGTGTTGTTCTGTTGTACATAAAACCGTCACTATCTGACAAGCTTGTCAGCATCTGTAGGAGTGAGAATAACTTATGCAAGCAACTGTGGTGCTCACACCGTCTCAGACGCGCAGAACTAATAGTGGGTGTTATTTATCGTATTCCATTAAGCCGTTGTTGCGATTGCCTACCACATATACAGAAGCACATAAGCCGCCCTCAATTCTTACTGATTGGGGATCTAAATTTACGTACGATATTCTGGCCAGACGTTCTGCTTCTTCGCGGTCATGGCAACATTGAGGCTCAATTCGCTAAAATGACTGTTGAATTCGGTGCAACGCAACATGTCGTCCAGCCGACGCGCATAACTCAGCACTCGGCATTTTGTCTGGACCAAATGTTTACGAGCTGCGAGCAGAGTCTGAAAGAGGTCAGAGTCCTCGAACCTCTGGCGAACAGTGACCACTGCTCCATTGTGGCAAGCATAAACTGCCGTTGCTGTATTACAACCAACGGAAGCCGACATACAACTATTGGAAGACGGACTTCAACAGGCTCGTCCAAGCCGCAAGTCAGACTGATTGGACACTTCCGCAGGATGCGTCGCTTGAGGGCTGTTGGTCATAAATGAAGAGGAACCTTAACTCGCTGTGTACTCGGTTGGTTCCCCTGAAGTATTCAGCACTCGGACCTGTCAAACCGCATTGATTTGATAAGGAATATAAACAGTTAGCGCGACGTTGTCGCAAATTTCGGGATAGATACATCATCTCGGGTTGTAATGAAAATTACACGATGTTCAAGAAACAGCGTAACATATGTAACGCTGCAAAGATCAAGAAGTGCCGGCAGTTCGAAGAGGAGCTAATAGTTTTCGCCATAACGCCCGCAAGAGAATATTTGCGTACTTGAAACGCTATCTGAAGCCTGCGGGCAACCTAACGGTCTTAGCTTGAACGGACACATGCTGATTTCAAGCGCGGAGCACGCGGACGCCTTGGCTACCCACTTCGTCACTGCACCTTCCAATAAACGGGCGGCTGTTGCAGTACCGGCACAGCTTGCGCCATTCTTGCTCGACAGCCGACAATGTGATGGGGGATGGAAATGCTGGTGATTGGAAATGCTGTAATGCCGATCGAACGTCACAGGCCAGCCCGACAGGGAATAAGCATGTTGCCGGAAACAGACTGGTCAGCCAATCAGGAAATAGTTGGGCAGTGAACGCGTCCAGCCTGCGACCATCCGCTGAACATGCAAGTGACCAAGCAGTCTTCTTGCTTCTCGGAGGGCAACACGACATGGCGACAGAGGAAAAGAAGCGGACGCGCCGTAACCCACTCGCTTTTGGTGGATAGCCATCGATCACACTGCAGATGACTGAAGGCATGCTGCCAGAGAAGTAGAGAATGTGGAAGGCGAAGTGGAGGGATTTCGTCATCTTGACCCAGTTGGACACTCAACCAATGGCGTTCCAGTTAGCGATGTTTAGGCACGCTGTGGGTGATGAAGCCAGGAGGGTGCTCGAAACATTGGAACTCAGTGAGGCAGGTGAGGAAGTCGAACAGGTAAATGAAACGTATCAGAGGTATTTATTTTTTGTTCGCGATCGATCCCCAAACGAATCGTCCGAGGCTTACATAACAGAACTGAAAATGTTGGCGCGTAACTGCAGCTTTTGCAATTGTATTCGAAACTCCTTGATACGTGATCGTATTGTCATTGGCATAAATAATGACGAGGTTACTCTGCGCCTTCTGAGACAAAGGAACCTGTCTTTGGAACAGTGTTTATGGACGTCTGCTTGAGTGTAGCAAGGACGGCGCAGCAGTTCGAACATGTGAGTGCCGAAACAAACACCGATCTGTGCGCGGTATCCCGAACCAGCAATAGTCCGTCCCAGACACCCGAAGGACAGGGTCCGAGTTGTCAGTTTTGCGGTCGCGTATATCCAAGAAGAAAGGAGAGCTGCCCAGCTTGGGGTCGAACATGCACAAAATGTTCCAAGAAGAACCATTTTGCTCGCTGTTGCAGATCCACTAAGACCAGCCCAGTAGTCGAGAGCATCAAGGAACAATTACAAGCATTTTCGATAAGCAACTTGGAAAACCGTGGAGAACACAAGTGTGTTTTCGCGACGCTTTTGATTCGAGGACGACCGGTGCGCTTCCAACTGGACCCAGGAGCTACTGTCAACATTCTCCCTTAGAACCACTGTGTGCGAATGACATGTGACAGGACGCACTATTGCCTCAGAATGCGCAATGGTTCAAAGCTGCTGCCAAAAGGTACCGCTACGTTGAAGACCATCAATCCGAAAAATGGCACGGAACACCAACTCGATTTGCTGATAGTCTTGGGAGACCTTATGCTCGTTTTGGGTATTGATTCTATTCAGATTCTCGGTTTTGTCTCTTTTAACCACGAAAGTTTCGTCCATTTGTGTGAAGATAACATAGATATTGTTGACAGCTACCCAAGCTTGTTTTACGGGGTCGTAGGGAGATTCGAATGGTGTGCTCATTTACCTTTAATCGAATCCGCTACGCCGGTAGTGTTGCCTACCAGAAAGGTGCCTATCGCCTTACGTGAGAAATTTTCGACGAGCTGCAGCGTCTTGCTAGTTGAGGAGCCAAAGTTGAGGAGCCGAGAGATTGGGTTAGCCAGGTGCCGATCTTTACTAAGAAATCTGGAGAACTACGCGTGTGCATTGATCCAAAACCACTTAATGCCGCACTCAGGAGAGAGCATTATACGCTACCGACGCTAGACGACATTTCCGGTGCTATCCAGAGCTAGAATATTCACTAAAGTCGACCTTGCTTCTGCGTTTTGGCATGTATTACTTGACGAAGAGTCAAGCTACCTGACCACATTTGTGACACCTTTTGTGCATTTCCGCTGGCTTCGTTTACCGTTTGGACTGAAGGTATCTAGCGAGATATTCCAGAAACGGCTGTTGCAGGTTTTAGACGACTTACCAGGAACGTTCT